TCTGCAATTGTACAATAAATTGTCAATAATAGGTCAGCCAAATGTGTCTGCGGCTTAATTAATGCCCCGGTAATGAGGCACTTATAACGGAATACTTTGTGTACTGCAAAACACTGAACTGAGTCAACTGACTGAAGATACCTAAAAAAAAACTCAGCCAAGTATGGACGCCGGAAAGGGAACACATGCAGGGGGTGCACTTAATGCATCAACCCCTCCTGCCGTACACTCATCAAAAGGGACAGAGGATATACTGATCATCATTCCCAATTTAAAATTAATTATGACACGTCAATCAAACCGCTATAGTTGATACATGAAAGCGATAACATTATCAGATTCAGAGATCTTTCTATAAGAGTAACCCCGAAGTTCATTCACACTGCTGTACACCCCCTTCCCCAATCAGCCACCCCATGCACTCTCTGCGGACACTAGACAAAACATCTGAATTTGCTGGGAAAATATGTGTTAGCTAGACATTGATAAATCACACATACATTAAAAACATCTCATTCGAACTGAAACATCACAAGAATTGATTGTGCAGAGTTTGGATTGGTTAGGTTAACCATATTACGGCACATTTTTGGAACATTTGCAAGCGTTATACCAGCTCGGTTCTCAGTGATCTATAATAGAGCCGACCCAAGTTTATAAACGGACTACTACAACGAACTAATATACCCCACGTAGGTACCTCCGCACGATGTTTAACTTGATTGCTATGGTGACACGTGGCTCTTTGTACCATATAATTACAATCACATGGAAAATATAGTTATAATAACACAAGCGGTTATTATTGGTAGCTTGTGAACAGCTTGATTCATAACAAACTTATTCTTAGCCATGACAACTCCGTCAGAGCAAATCAGCATTACAATGATATCAGTTTGCCTAGTCTCGCGGTGTTTTTTACCTGATAAACTGATAAAGGTGGTATATAAATAAAAACGTTGGCCAAATCTTCACCGCCAAGCATCACTTACCCAATACAGTTCGGATTGGAATATAAGATTTACATTTTTCAATAAACTGTTAGCTCGTGGATTGATACCCCCTTAATGACCGGTTTTCTCCAGCTACCCCGCAGTGTCCCCGCTACACCCCGCTCTAGCCCCTGCGTTCGATTTTCACTGACGAATAACTTCGATTCACACTTTAAATCTTTCTATTTTGTATATATAATGGTAGTAAAGCACGTTGTGCACAATCTTGAATAATATCGTCAAAATGTCAAAATTTTCGCATGAATTCATCTGCATGTATTTTTCATTACTCTGCAAAATTGGAATATTCCATGGAGTGGAACCGTGGAGACGCGATGTCGAATAGCAGCCATATAAACTGCTGAAGTATGACGGCATGGTGTCAACTATCAAACAGCGATGACCTCACTAAGGTTTAGTGGTTACGTACGATTTTTATTGAGGCTAAGTTTATGCACAAATTTCACTGACAGTCCGCCATTTTTCTTGTCGCGGTGATCACAGACTATTCTTTAAATTGTTTTGTGTTTTGAGAAATCTGTCGAACCAGGAGAACCAGGCTTTGAACCCAATTCCCATGTTCACCGACATTTCGCGATGTATTGTTGGCAGTCGGTGACGTAATAAATTTATAAAAAATACCAGCATTTCATTCTTTAGTGATGACCGACCATAACCGACTGTCAGTTTGTCGTAGGCGTATGAGAACTAGGCTTAAATGTCGAGGATCGCAAAACACACGAGTGAGCAACCTAATCGTTTGCAAAGAATAGTACGGATTCGAAAAATTAATGTAATCAATTGCCGCCATAATGCCGAACAACAGGTTCTGGTGTTACCGATGGGAAAAATCGTTGACCAAAATCCGTTAAAAAGTTGGCCAGTATATAGACGGTATTATGAAACATTATTGTAATCTACTTGTAGGTACACGGATAACCTAAGAGCGCAAGATGCCATGAATCTTACATTTTTTCATTGGGGAATTCACGGATGGATTGTCTACACCTTGGTTGGACTCCTCATGGCTTTCATAGCGTATAGAAAAGGTCTCCCGATGACCATTCGATCGTGTTTTTACCCTCTACTTGGTGACAGAATTTTCGGAGTTGTTGGCGATATCATTGACGTATTTTCTGTCGTGTCAACTATGTTCGGAGTTGCGACAAGCCTCGGGATTGGTGTTAAGACATTGAATTCTGGTTTGAATCGCATGCACAGTGGCGTTGAGGAAACAACAAATAATCAAATAATCATCATTTGGGCCATCACATGTCTTGCTACGATATCGGTCGTTTCCGGTCTCAAAGTCGGAATTCGTCGGATTAGTGAAATCTGCTTCGGACTTGGCATATTTTTAATGCTGTTCGTCTTCTTTCATGACAACACCTGGTTTTTCCTCAATTTGTATGTTCAAAGCATAGGGTACTATTTCCAATATTTAGTGCAATATGCATTCCACACGGATGCCTTTGCGCAACTAGATAACGCCCCGGATGACAAGCAGGCGCCCAATTGGATGAATGAGTGGACTGTGTTCTACTGGGGATGGTGGATTACATGGTCGCCTTTCGTTGGAATGTTCATTGCAAAAATATCTCGCGGTCGAACTGTGAGGAATTTTATCAACGCCACTCTTACAGCGCCAATTCTGTATCTTTTCCTTTGGTTTACAATTTTTGGTGGAGCCGGTTTGAAAATGGAACGTGATGCGGCCATCGCTGGCATAAACTGCACCTCAGAATTAGGAGGAACAAACGCAACAGAACCATTCAACAGGTTGTTTCGCTTGTCCTGTCGAACCGACAGCCAGATGTATTTCGACGTTATCCAACAGTATGGCAACAACCTTGGAGGATTCTTAAAAGTCGTTTCCCTAATCAGTGCTGTGTTGTATTTTGTAACAAGTTCCGACAGTGGTTCTCGTAATTGATTGTCTTTCAGCAACGGAAACCCTGACCCTCCCGTGATTCAGCGCGTCTTCTGGGCGTTCACCGAAGGAGCTTGTACCACGGCGCTCTTAAAAGCTGGCGGAGAGAAAGCAATCGATGCACTTCAGTCCGTCGCCATTGCGTCTGGCCTGCTCTATGCCGTCATACTCAATCTAATGTGCTTGTCACTTTGGCGAACAATGCAAATGGAGGCTGGGGACTACGACCATCACAGGAACACATTTTCTTCCAGTCTCATTTCGGTATTTGACAAACCATCCTGGCGACGAGTCTTGGATATTCTGATCTGGATCGTGGCACCCTGGTGGCCTGCTGGCCATGCAGCAGGAATGCTTTATATGAAAAGCCCCGTGCGCTATATGGTTGTCATGGCATCGCTATTTTACGGCTGGGTGTTATTGGAAATCCTACAAGTTGTTGAACCTGGCCTGGCGTATGTCGGCTGGGTTGTTCTCATCTTTTTCTTTGTCTACCTAGCTTCAATCAGGCTCGCTATACGTGAGCATTTTGAAATAAAATCTAGCACCATCGAAGATGCAATTCTCGTATCAGTTTTCTATCCCTTAGCCGTGGATCAAATGTATCGGCACATGCTTATCGAGGGGAAAAGTAAGAAAGATGATCCTGGAGCTGGAAGCTACCTGATGAAGTCCATTGATCCACCAGAAATTGTCAAAGATGGCAAAAGCGAATTCAAAGAAAAGCCAGAAATGGTTTAAGAGATAAACAATTCACTGAGATTTGTATTTCTAATTGTATCTGTTTTGATTTTGGGACTTTAGTAATGTAGAATATCATGCACTAAACAACATCGGACGTAAATACATTTATATTTCAATTTATATACTTTGCACTAAATTGTATAGTTAGGTACCTCGTGGATAGGATTGTAGGATAATATAACCTTCACAGCTACCAAAACACCATGCATAACATGTCGGGTGGAAATAGTTTAGGAAACCTAAGGGATACCCTGTCCACAAGAAAAACCACTTAGACGTTTTCTATAATAAATTCATTTGTGACGTACGTGTTGTCATTCTTTCATACATGCAGGGCTAATGGACCTAAACGAGTATTCCTTTTTACTCAATCGCGTCAGTGAGTTTACGTATCTCAATCTCCCTGACATCTCCGCTAACAGCAGTCTTAGCCCAGGCCAACGTTTGCATGGTTTACGCTACGAAAATCTAGGCGAAATTCAGGTCTACCCAAGGTTTGGGTGAGATGATGTAGACATGAAATAAACATTTATCTACACAAACAAGAAGTGGCGTGGAAGCACGATATTTGGGGTGGTTGTGGTATATTCATACATTCCGTTCATATCGATACATTGATTATGTTCTGCATAATCAATTTCTTTTCAAATCGACTGACTTAACTGTTTGGAATCATGGAAGAATTGCCTTGTTTCCATTTAGCCGCGAGTGGCGTGAATATGTCAAGGCGGGAGTGCAAGATTAAAAAAATCTTGTTTCCCTGCCTTAGCTTATTGTACTGATTGGTCGAAAAAACCTGTGCAAAGGCATATCCGAATCGGCTGAACGGTTATGCCCTTTGATGACACATTCGTTAATTTCTGCAGTACAAAATCTTGGCTTCCTCTACACACGCAATGTCCACGATAATTATCGCGGATTGCATGATTTTTGCAATGCGCATTGGTATGTTCAGCATTCATAAACGGATACAGGACACCATTCGTGAAATCATGCATGGAATACATGCATATAGCGTTTTCAACTATGATTTTTCTAAGCTTTGAACCTGGCCGAAGGGGAAAAGAGGCCTCTGCCTGATAATACGCTACACGTCTAGCCTGCATGCAACTTTACACGTCTAGCCTGCATGTAACGTAAATATAGCTACGTTTTGTCTACGAACGCTGCAGCTACCACGTCGCCCGCAAAAAGTTAATCCGCGGCCTTGTGCGGAGATGATGCACGCGCTCAATCCGAATGCTATTCTTCAATAACAATCATTTTGTGCATACAATCGTAAAATTTTAAAATCGATACTCTAAAAAGGTGACATTACATGACAAAATGTAGAGTTGAGAAACGGTAGTTACATAAAGTATCATATAGGACTATGATTTATATGAAATAGAAAATATATAGTGAAAGTGTACTTTATGTTTAAATTTTCATTTTCTTCATTGTCGTGGGCAAGATACGGTCTTGTCTCGCACGATCGAGTTGGCACAGCATTGCTGGGTGTTCAATGAATAATAATCTTGATCGCAGCATTCGTAACGGGGGATTATGTTATGAACTGTACCGCAACAGCAAATTTGGTTTGCAGGATTGTAACCTCTTTCACGGCACAAAGGCCCTGCAAGGCGTAATATGTGTATGTAGATAGTATTGCTATCGATTGTATGTGATTACGATCAAGATACGATATTTTATCGTGATTATGTTAGATGACAGAGATAATAGTAGAATAAGAAACATAAATGGCTGCTACATACCTCTCACTTCAAACATAACCGCACATGTCAGATCAAACTGATTGTTCATATTGTACGTATATATTAACGCATGTTGACCAATGGAAAAGGGCTGTCCCGACCTGATCACCTCAGGTGCTATGGTATCTCGTATTGCTTCCGAACACGTGGGTTTGGGCACATTCCAGGACACGGTAGTGGTGGTTTCACCAGGAACAACGTTAAAGGTTTTCGGAACAGGCAGTGGACAACCACATTCTACAGAGAATTGAATTGCACAAATTAGTAAAAGTTTGATATTGAATAATATAAAAAAGGATACGTGCATGGTCCATTCCTAAATTAAAAGATTAAAATGGGGTAGTGTCGGTAGTGTCGCAGCTCCTCGCAAGAATGATTTTCATTGGCTGAACTTTACAATGCATTTCTGTTTCAACCAATAGCATAGCTTCGTTCTTTAGAAAGCATAGAAAAGCATTATCCAATTGGACGAAAGCTTCCGAGAGCTGCGACATGTCCAAAATAAGTCTGCAGCGTACCTCTCAAATTATGAGAAATTTAACATCAGCTATAACGAGAGATAAAACTGACAAACCTTTAACTTCAAAACGTATTGTACACGTGACATCAATTCGGCTGGGGGTTGAGTACACGTACGTTATTCTATACACACCAGGTGCGAAACTCTGGCCAGATCGTTCGTTTGGTGAAGTTTTTAATCTTCCGCCGCATGTGGGACGTGGCATTGCCCAGACGACATTTGTATTACGATCACCCTGTTTGATGTACTTTGTACCGATATTCACCTCTGGACATTTGCATGCTAAAGAAATGAAAACACGTCGTGTTGAAAGGAATATTTTAACCTAAAAAGAGTTTGTATGGACACGCATGCAAAAGTTTATAGTGCATAGACCGAAAGTTCGGTACGCAGATCTACGATTATCATTTTGAAGGATGTTAATTAATGAAGAGTGTTCGAAATGCGAAGAAAACGTTAGAAGATCGTAAGAAATCGTTTTCGTTTTTGACAACTTTAGATGTCTCAGGAGTAGAATTGCATTGCAAGTTGCAAGGAAAATTGCATAGTGTAACAGCGCCTTGAGTGTATGTATGTTGCGCAGGGTGTAATGACTGTAATGGGAAACGACATGCATGCAACTGCAAATTAGGCCAGCAATTGTACACGTTTCACGTTTGATTCCACGAGTTTGTTTTCAAGTTAGTAAGCAGTGGCGACTGTACTTACGAGGTCCAAAGCAGGATTCGCCTAATTTTCGCAGTGTATACCCCGGACAACATCTTTGTGTGGACTTTGAGAAATAAATAGTGCCACAGCATTGAAAATTGGGGGTTTTTTTGTATATCTTGCCACAACAACATTCTTCCAGCGTTGTCAAATAAGCCTTGCCACCACAAAAGTTTTGCCCTTCAAAAACATTTGAAGAAAATTGATTTGACAAAAAGGAAATTCAGTTATGGTTAGCAAACACTGCATGTGAGCCTAATTACTCGAGCAGTTACAAAAAATGCAAGTTTGATTTGTCTATATTCCAAGTTAAAACTGTTTCTATATGGTCGGCGTCTGGAAACCAGGTTTATGTCGGTGTTGCAAATTTGAAATAAAACCATTAAATTTTAGCGTATGATAACCATCAGAAATAGCTGTAGTGAAAATTGTCTATAATGGTATGTATCATTTTTAGCGGCTGTGCTAACAACTTGCGTCCTTAGGCAATCATATATACCCTAATACAGCCAAGATTACTATGCACTAACATGAGGGGTCATTAATTCGTTAACTCTAACAATTGCTCGATCTAGCGTACGTAGAGCAGGCTTTACCTCAAATAGCTTCCCTGCGCAACAACATAAGCCCAGCTGACGTTGACTGGTTTTCATATATAACTAATATATATTCGTATGTTTTTTTTGGCGGCAAAACCTCGCAGAATGTCAGGCTCTATCAGGAACTACATACAGGCTCTGGATTTTTGAGAACCTGGAGGAACGATTGAACTTTAAACCGCAGGTGCGCGTATTGGATTAGTATAAACCTGCAGTGTTCGAATGTGTGTTCGAATAATTTTGAAGCACTTTCGTAAAACAAACCTTTAACTTCAAAAACGATGTCGCACTGGACGTCAGAAAAACTTCTCCCGTCAGTCACGCTTTTCACACTATATAAATACACGATTTCCTGTCGACCAATAGAAAACTCGTTTCCAGATGAGACATCTGGTTTGTATAGGGTGTTCTTTAGTTCAGTTTTCAAACCTTCTGGGCACTCGGGCTCTGGTATTTCCCAGAATACATCTCGTGTTAATCTGTCCGGATTAACGCGTAAATCGCCAAGGTCACGTGCTGGACATTTGCAATCTATAAAAAAAGGGAATGTTGTTGAGTCTAATCAATGCCTTTGAAAGACCCTGACGAGACCAGCCCATATTGTAGGCCTTTATTGCCAAGTTCACTCAAAGCTTTGAGTTTTTAGAAATAAGACAGGAAGTAATATTTTGAATCAATTCCATAATCAGTCTCAAACAATCAGCGTCAAAATTTCAACAGGAGTTTGTTGTTTTCTTTTTCGATGCTGCTGCGTTGCTCTGACTATTATATAAGGGCCAATTTAGACGTTGAACTTTTCATGAGCCAAATCTATTGCAAATAAACTTAAGCGAGGCCTAAGCTACGAAAGTAGATGACAATAACTTATTAAATCCTATTAATCCTATTAGTCATTCCTACACATCATGCATATTAGTCACATCTTACTTTCCGCTGGCTGGAATACTTGACAGGAACTGGCAACAAGTCGTTCTATTTCCGTATGAATGCTTTCGAAAGAGGCCATCACCGCGTCACCAGGGGTAGACAGTTTTTCAAGTGTATCCATATTGACATTCCCAACCCCCAAGCCAACTACAATTATTCCTCTGTCCTTTATAATCCTCGCTTGTTCGATGGCTTTTCTTCTCACGTCGGTAATACCGTGAGGTTCCCCATCCGTCAGCAACAGGATTACGTCATCATATTGTGGTCGGTAGTTCAATGGACTTCGTTGCGAAAAAATCTAAGGAAAAATGAAAGTTGGGATTCAGGTTGGAATGTTTCATTTCGAGGCTTTTCTTTCAGTTTTGTAATAAACTTTTCGTAGATGAGATTTTCAAAGATATCTGACATATATCGCTCTAGTGATCTTCTATAGCTATGCATTATATATGCATGAATATTGAATGAGGCAAAATCTTCAAAATGCGAGGTAATTCTGTTATCAACCGGTTAGCCTTTGAATTTCTTTCTTTGCAGGGGCCAAGAGTTTGAATCAGTTGTTTGTAACTCTAATATAAACGTGGAAGATCTGTATTTGCCATTGACACATATGTCGTTAATTAGTTCATCCAGTCAGGACCTTTTTGACATGGGGCCCCTCCCAACCCCTCCTTCGGCCCCTACCGATGGCTAGTAAAGTACCCCAAAGTAAAGGTTCCTTTAAATGTAAATATTAGCACAACGACCATATTGAAAAACAGCAATGGTATACACTCTCAAAAAACCTTTCTCCATCGAGATGGATTCGTGATCAGCAAAAGTCCCTCCAAAATAAAAAAATCAAGCCATTTATAGCTAGACTCAAAAAATACAGAAAATATTTGGCCGGAGCCCTAGACCCTCTTCCATCAACTTTTGCATTTTTTAATAACCAATTTTTATGGACGGTGTATCGATCAGCGGCTATCCAAAACCGAGAGTATACAAACCTTACGTCCGACTTGTTGAAATCCATAATCAGTTCTTGTATGAGGACCTCTGACTCTTTCCCAGTTAATCCTATCAACGGTTTTATTGTATTGCGGACCGTAGCCTTTCTCAAAAGGGAGAAGTAGCTTGGTCATCTTCTTTGAACTGAATGCATAGATCGCAATGTGAGTCCCATCTGGTGAAACGTTTAACTCTGGTATACTCCCGAATTTTTTCAGAAACGGTTTAACTTTTTTCCTAAAGTTATCCGGACCAATTGAAAATGAAGTGTCAAGAAGTACAAGGATGTCTATTGTACACTTGGTGCCTGTAACAGAGAAGTAATTTCTCATAAAACTTTCAAACATGTAAGAGAACTTCGTATATATCAGAACTATCCGATAATCTGAATGCCTCAGTACAGTGGCGAGCGTCGAACTCACGTGTGCATAAAACTGAAAGAGTTACCTGTTTTGCGTGAACACAACGAAAAAAAAAGCCATGTAATTTTTTGTACTATATATTATAGGGGTGGACAAAACCGATACCTTTAACACTAGTTTGCCACGAATTTGGTCTATGCCTGATTTCCATGCCTGCATGTACCGCTATACTGCTAATCTCCTGGAAATACGCGCGTTTAATTGAAAATACGATTCTTATTAAAAAAGGCTTGAGGTTCTCCGTTAGTAAGCTGGTACAATAACGCCCACTTATATACACTCGTCACTTGCGTCTCGTGGAAGATGAGTTAGTTTAACCAACTGGAGTTTCGAGATTCAAAAATTGCACGATTTGTTTTTGTAAATTTCTGTTTTTCTAATTTCTAACACACGACATGACATCCGTTGTTTTTGTCTTAGCTTACCTAATGCGAGCAAAATATTTTGGTGAAAATATTCAACTGCCATTAGGTTAAAAATAAACAATCAAGTCTTTTTTTTAGATGGCTGAGCTCGATTAATCTGGTGAGTTCGACGAGTTTGTTCATGTTGGCTTTTGCACGCCCTGTTTATTCGTCCATGGATATATTACACCGAAGCATAGCATTCGATCGATAGCGTTGCTTAAAATCTATCTCTATACCACTTATAGTATCAGGCTATAGGCAGGTCATATAAATATAATATAAATCAAAATCAAGAGAGCACACTGGTTCGCGCCCAACGGAGAAAGTGTTTAGCGGATTCCTTGGAAGTCGGGCACACCTCTTTATGGACTATAGCCCTATTTACCTCTTTTTTTAACAAACTGTTCTTTTCTATTCATGCATGCGGTGATTCAATGAATTTTGAATGATACCCATGTCGTATTCAAACTTTAGGACCAAGTATTACGCCTTGTCTAGGTTTATGAGGGTGGCAATTTCTCTCACATTAGCGTCCTATTATTTTCTACGTATACAAATTGATTAGGTTGCCTGCATATTGAGAATTGAGAACGTTTTAGCATGTAAATTTTCAGACTTTATATATATATAAATTAGTTTTGCACAGCTTTGGTTTCTTGGCTAAAATGTTTCAACTGTACATGCATACTAAAATAATAACTGGCTACTTCAAGCTAGGTATTTCACTGGTGAGTTCTTGAAGTTAAGTTTATATTCAAAGTCACAACAAAAGAGATATTGATATGAAAAATCTATAACAATAAAACACACCTCGCTCTTTCCTTTGAGCATTAGTCAGTACTGCCAGGAAACAGAGAATTGCAAGGACAATCAGGGACCAAAGACAGCGTCCTTTCCTTGACATTATGAGATCGCTGATCTTAGATAGAAAAAGCAGTAAATACAGTACAGAGTTCCTAACGTAACAACAACAAGCCACAAACTAAACGATCACTTACCCATGCACTGTCATTTCTGCGGCCAAAATGTGGGGAAATATTCAAAACATTTCAAAATATTTTTCGATATTTTGACTGCCGGGTTACTCGGAAGCCTCCTCAAATGTGTTTGTATTTTCCTAAAATTTGCTTAAAAAAACAAATTGCTAGAAGAAGTCAAAACAATTTTTAATACTTTGGCTAAGATGTGACCGAATGACGCGCATTGTTCTTAAGTTATAATCACGCACAAATCACCACGGTCTACCGTCTATGTACGAATTCTTTTTCAGTGACAGTATACTCGACATTAGTTTTTTTTCGACGATAGAATAAGGAGAAGGCGATAAATGTATATACGCTTTACCAGAATGCAAGCGGAAGGAATTTGTCAATAAAAGTGAATGAATCTTTTTAATTTTATCAGTGCATTTTGATAGGATAAAAAACGAGGTTATTTCCTTTGTTGTGTTTAAATTTCACGTCGTTTCGTGTTTTCCCGTCATATTTTCCAGTCACGCATTCTGGAAAAACCTGCATCATCATAATCATCTACATCATCATCTGCATTTTCGACCGCAAACTATTCACTGAGATGAAAGGAGTATCAAGGTAATTAACTCCTAATGGGCGAGTTAAATGAGACTCCGAAATAAGGGTCGATGAAAATATGCACAGCTGTGTGTATGACAAAATATCCACTTCGACAACCACACTCCTTGAGAGTTAAGTATTCAAGAACAATTATATATCCGAATATATTCCGAGTGGAATTCTGTGTTGAGATTTTGACCCCGCCACAACCTGCGCCGCGTTGATTTCAGTGCAAGGCAGCGACAACAAAAATAAAACATTCCGCACCAGGGCGGTTTATCAAAGAATACCGACTAGAAGATATATACGTCTGATTTTAAAAATATTTGGAAAAATATATTTACAAACATCAAAATACCGCGGCCATTACCCTCTTGACTCAACAACTCTTATCAACAGGAAACCGATACTCGAAAATCATCTGCATTTGTTCTCGAAAAAGATCAGTTTGCGTCATGGACATTGCATGTGCTTTGTAGGTTGAAAACAAGATTATATTTAGAAACACTAGGACAGCCAGTTTATTTTTCATACTTTACTTTATCGTGCAGCGTAAAAGAAGTGATTGTAAAAGTAATTTAAATTTTAAAAATTGATCTGTTGTTGCTACTGAGCTGTATAATTGTAAAAGTCTGGAAGCAAATTTAGTTATACTAACAGAAACTGATAGAACTTATAAATATGATAATTTTCACGGCAGTTTTCGAACCCTTCGATAGCTCAGTTGGCAGAGCGGGGGACTGTAGAGGAACTCCAAAGTGATCCCTAGGTCGCTGGTTCAAATCCGGCTCGAAGGAAACAATTTTGATCCAATCTCAAATATTCTTTTAATACATTCTAAATAATAGTTTTCTTGGTTGCCGTCTAAATACACCTCGCAGCTACATTTTCCCTGAAATATTGCTTTAGAATTACTTCGCCGAAAACAGCACTAACCCGCACGCAGGCAGTCAACTCGTTCAAGGTCCAACCCAGCCTTCTGATTAGGCCCTAGTAAAATCGCGGGCTTCGGATTGATTGGACCTAGACTAGCGACTAGCGATATACAATTTTAGAAATACACATGCTTCGCTTTTCAATACAAGCCATTTCATATAATACTGTTGCCTTCCTGATAATATAGATTCTATATGTATTTTTACGAAGTACACTTTTGTACACTCCCATACAAATAAAAATGGAAATAGAATGTAGCCGTGCAAATGTGATAATTTTGCACCTATTTATAATATGGCTTAGTGCAAGCCCTGTGTACTATTTTCTACACTGTTACTCGGTTTGTCGGTAGGAAGCCTGGGGGCCAATAATATATACAAAGGGGACCTTTATTTCAAAAAATCTCTGATAAGGCATTTCCTTCGGATCTCTCAAGCTCAATGGCGGATCAAGGTATAGGCCGAGGCTTAATTTCAACTAATGTTCAAAGTTGTCAGGTTTCTCTCAGTGAAAAGAAAAACAAAAAAAGGTCCGTTCTGGTTCCAAGTTTTGTTGACTAAACATACTTTCGCCCACTTGCAAATGAGTGGGGTTATTCCACCTCCCAACACCCCTACTATGCAGAGTTGCAAAAAAAGTTCAACCTTCCTCCGGTAGGATTTCAAGTTTTGCCAAACCTTCCTCAAAATGACGTAACGTCACCGAGTCAAGTGGCAACAAGCATAAAGAAATATTTGTTTTTTTGGTACAAGCATATGTTCAATTAGAGTGTTCAAATTTGAACCTTCCTCACAGACCTCATTCAAAGCAAACCTTCCTCCGGGTGCCACCCGCGTACCCGCAGCTTTTTTACAACTCTGCTACTATGCGCTGCCGGGCTGTTCAAAAAAATACAAACATGTTTGGTGACATCTGCACGGCTATATTCTAGTCATTCAGTTACAACATTTCCCATTTCCCAACAAAGCCCTAATAACTCAATAAATACAAGGACGGTCATGTAGATACAATTCACTACCTACACACATGCATAAAACCTGAATAACAAACCTTACATTAAGTACGAACTTCTTGCCTCGACTAGTTCAATGTTTGGGCTTGCCAGGTCTTTCGACAATTCCAGTGCTTTACTGGGATCGGTAACAAAAACCCTGAATTTCGAATCTTCCTTGCAGTAGCCAACAGATAAAACACACGGTAACCTATATACATACACAAAATATTACTGGCATTAATTTATCAAAGTCTGAAATTGTATAGTCGTTTAGATGGTACCATCAGTGTGCAAGTGTTCAACTTGACGAGAAGTTAGCTCATTAACGACACCGCTGTTGTTGAAATTTCATATCTACTATGTAGGATCGAATAAAGTAAAAAAATATATTTATATCGGTAGATCTTACTCCATTAGCTTTTCCACATTACCACATCGTTTCCTTAATGTTTCCAATGAACAGGCGTTCTGACTAACTTGTGTTCTTGTCGTTTGCAATTGCTTGCGTGCATCTCCCGCGGGCAGACTAAACCAGAAGTTATCCAAATTCTTAAGAACAACAGTCTCTTCTTCCTTAGTTTTCCGAAGATCTGCAACGCAATAACACTACAGTAGTAGTATAACAAGACATGGTAAAGGCTATTCTCATGTATAAATCACCTTCCGCATCAGAAGTAACATTCGCCAGATTCTCTCCTGGCATCTCAGTTGGGATGCTATCTTCTGAAGACCATGAACTCCAGTTACTACTAGAGTTTGAGCTTGAGCTGGAATCGTCAGAGTCGGAGGACTATATATGAATAATAAAAACAGAATGACTGTATATCATTAACCTAAAATATTGACGTTATAATGCAGATATTCCTCATCCTGTTTACACTCATTTTCTCCCAAATTTATCTAAACAATTGACCAATTTCCTGTAGGTGCAAAATATTGTGCTATCAGAAAGGACGTTTACAGTTTGGTGTAATATTTTTTATTTGTAAACTTCTCCATGGACATCTTTCCTATTTATTATAAGCAATTTTTAAACTGCCAGTTAAAATTTCATATAATTTCATATCCAACTTTTGCCCGATCATTCCCTTATCTGTACCTGTTTAAAAAGCAGTCACTCTGTCAAAGTCCTACGTTTTTATTTTAACATTTCACCTCTGCAGGTAATGTTTATTAGAGAGCACCGCCAAATGATAATATATCAACTTTTGAAACAAATCATGCGCAGTGATTAATTGATAAAATATAAGTTAAACATATACGCGAAATGTAGGCCAAATTTTCGTTGAAAGGGATATAGCAATTAAAGTGTATATAGAATTAAATAGAGTTTAAGGCGTTCAAAAAATTCCTGACCCTAATATGTTCGCAACAACTTTTTAACGCCAATTACAGGCACGGATGACGCATGCAAATATATGGAGACGGTTTATTGCGGTGTTATTTTCAATAAGTAATAAAGTTCACTCACAGCAGATGGGCTGTTTTCAGGACTCTTTTCAATCCATTGTCTTTTAGATGTTCGGTAATCCTCTTTATTTTTTATTTCATCTGGAGCCTTAACATAGTATACGTGTAATGAATTATGATTATTGAGGACTGAAGTGAATCATATATAATATATGGGTAATATGCACAAAACTTACAGACAATCTTCGCTTTTTTGATAATCGTTGAGATGCCAATGACTCATCCTTGGTCTGGAAGGCCTTGTTCTAATGTCAAAAAAAAGATGTATTATAGCCAAACCGAGGGCAATTTTGAGAGCTATTTACCTAAACTTCTTTAGGGAGTATTATCTTGGTGAAAGGCGCAATAATTTGACTGGTATGTGCAGCATACATATGCTGAATGCAAAAAAACTTTTCTATTTACAATACCTCAGTTATATCCCAACCTATCTATTGTTTCCCTCTTTCCTTTCGAACTGAACTATTCGCACATTTTTCACGAAAATTACGGTTTTCTGCTGAAATGTTTGGAATCTCTGAGATACATGTATACTTGCGAAAAGTACCGTTACACCTTAAACAGTACCTTGTCTTCGTTATGCTCTCTTCTTTTCATATCTTTTAGTGTAAAGCACGCGTAGTTTCGATGAGTTCTGAATAGCCAAAAATAATATACACATATACTCGTTGTGGAAAAGGTTGCCCACGGCAATTTGCATTAAACAAACAATAAAAATAATATGATGAATACTAAATAAACATGGCTTATCGTACGGTTTTTATACTTTTTTTACGTTTAGTATACGACCATGATATATGCTGGCTAGCTAGCCTACCTCACTGACACAGAGACACAGACATGCATGGTCATAGACAATAAAGTATATCTGTG